TGGATTCTTAAATTTTTGGAAGCTAACCAGCCAGCTTTCTGAACGATTTTAATCCCACTCAGACACCCTTTCTTTTTCGAAGTGTTACTTTTACAGTGTTTGTGTGACTTTAAACCTAGACAAAGAAAAAGATGGCAGGGCACAGATAAGAATCAAATTGGAGGTACATATGGAATGGGTATATTTTATTTTGTTTCTTTCCATAAAACTATACATTTTTCATTTTGATAGTCATAAACAGTTATACATTGGTACTGCGAAGGGAATGCGAGAAAATATTGTGAAGTTATTTAATTGACATATCTTGATCAGCATTCGTTCATTTTTTCAGGTATTGTGTTTAATCTAATACCAAGACTGGCATGCACTGTGACATATATAAAGTGTAATTGATCAATAAAAAATGCATTAAAATGTAGACAACATATTATCAGTGTTTAATCCAACAACTTATGTGACAAGTACGTATTTTGACAATACGTAGACATAGAATGCTACATATTATGTACCTCCAATATTAACATAATGAAATAACCATGCCTATTTAATGTCCACCAGCTGGGTAGATAAACTTCCCCTGATCAGTACAGTAGCCAAGCACGGATCGTTAATGCGTAATATTAACAAATTAAAAAGTGGAAAATTTTGCCTTTGCGTGTGCTGACATGGCTGATCTCAGGTTTCTGATAAAGGCAAACAGAACAGACTGCATGACCTCAAAAGTATGACAAAAAAAAAAAAAAAAAAAAAAAAAAAAAAAAACTAGAAGAAAATATAATTTGAAAAGTAATTTTACTATAATTATGTTTCATTATTTTGTTTTATTTCTGTAAGTATACGTGATTAAATAATGTGTTTTTCTAGCCTTAAAATTGGATGATGATAATTATTATATCTAAAAATTACTATTTACAAAAAGGATTGACCTCTTTGTAGAATTACAAAACTGTATGTGCCCATCATGATGGATTTTTTCTTTACTGTTATACAATATCCTGTGTTATATTTTGTAAACGCAATTAAATAATAATTAATTCAAAATAATATGCATTTTTGTCGGGAGTAACTTGATAAGCTAATATGATAAGTCTGGAATATCTAGAATGACATACGTACCATCTTAAAATAACGTATTATTGTTGTAATAACATGTGTTTATTTCAATTTTATTTATCTTTTTATTTATTTTTTATCTATTTTATTTTTATTTTCATTTTTTATCCATAGGACAGTGTGTGTGGGGGGTTAAGGGTGAAAATTCATAAGAAATATAAATCATTTTCCAGAATAATAATTTCCAAACTCATTTAAATAAAGGTTGAACAATATAAATGTACGCTATTTTCAGTTACTGAATACATATACTCTGTTGAAACAGCTTGGTTACTTAAAACCTGCAGGAAGCGTATAACATAGTTCTACTTATCTCTTCGGGAGTACTTATCTCATTTATTTTAATAGTTGACACTTTTTACGACTCTCTGCAGCCAGTAAATATTGAACAGGGAAATGCTATTTATATTTTATTGACATGCGAAATATAATGATATTTTCTGTGCCTTTTTATTACGACTTAAGATTGCGTTTCTCAAAAATATATTTTTATAGAAAGTATATAAGCAAACTTTTTTTTATCTAATTATTGAATTGAAGTGTCTTCAATCTTACAACACAAATCAGAAATCATGCAAATAATTATTAATTACAATTGCTGTTTTCCTACTGATGGTCATTTACTCTTAAACAGTCATAATTCTATTCTAGAAAAAAAGAAACTATTGTACTGTGCTATGTAGTGTATTGCTGTATAACTTTGGAGAATGAATTTATCATCTTTTCTGTGTCATTGTGCTATAAAGGGAGGCAAGACAGTGACGACATGGTGTGGGCGATGCCCTTGTTGTTTCCTCCCTTGTTAACGCTTTTTTGGAAATTACTCCTTATAAAAAAGCGACTGTTTCACTAGATGATGCAAATACTTTAAAAGTTTAAATTTGTAGACCTTGTCAAAGAGGATCACTAAGAATCTACGGTAGTCGACTACACACAAAAGACATTGTGTTTTTTCAATAAAAGAAACGACAGACGGCTTTTGCCTGTATGATATTGTATGTAGGAATTCGAAATCGATAAAGATACTTATAATGAGCAAAAAAAAATGTATGATCCTAGAGTTCTGTATAAATTATCTGAAAGTGTAACTGAAAGATGAAATTGCAAATAAAGTAGTCCAGTCGTATTGGCTTGTTTCTTTAACAGTTTAAGTTAACTTGAGGCCATAATTAAGTCTAGTTTATTTATACAACAACGTTTATTTCCACATTATATAACACAATTTCAAATGCTTGAAAAACGTCATGATAGTGTTTCTTTACACAGTTAAAAATATATAGCTAACCTGCTATGAACACTGGCCATCAGAAATTCCGTTGGCCATATTTATGTGATGAGCCATTAACGGAATTAAAAAAAAATAAAAAATATTGATTATTGATGTATCAGTGTAGTTTAAAGACGAGTAAGAAACGCAGAAAGGTCAGTGAACATATCCTATGCTGCACGAAACAAAGATTATGTATATGTAATTCTATATTCAAACAGCTTATGTTTGTGGAATTAAAAAAATAAATAAAAAATGTTGATTGATTATTAATGTATTAATGTCGCCTAATGACGAGAAAAAACGCTGAAAAGTATGTGAGCATAAATATCCTATGCACGGAAATAATATTATAAAACTCATTTGTTAACTCATACAACTATTAAGTCTAAGAACTTATAAATAACTCCAACTTACAGGAATAGTTCATATCACACTCGTTACCTCCCTTTAATTGTATCTTACAACTTAGCCTGAGCAGCAGAAAAACGCCACAAGCAGCAGTAGAAAAATACGCATTATACTGTTCATTTTAATACTAATTGATTAAAGGAATGCAAAACTACCTTAGATTTTAATGTAACACATCACTGTTTCATAGGCTATCCGTTTTAATTTGACAAGATAATTTAGTCTAGTTTATTTACGAAGTTAAACTATTCCCACATCATATAAACTCAATTTCAAATGCTTAGATAACGTCTTTATTGTTAAGTTTCGCTAAACTGTTAAGAATAAAAAAGCTAACCCGCTATGAGCACTGGTCATCGGTAAAACGGAGGGAACTAGAGTTTCATTAGTGACAATAATACAGTACCATCATCCATTGCATCTATTGTACTTAGTCTTATTTATTTATAAAGCTGATATGTGACATAATTCCGTTTCGCCACATTAATGTGGTCAGCCATTATCGATCTTTAAAACAAAATATATTGATTATTTATGTATCAGTGGCCAAATAATGAAAAAACAACGTTGAAATGCGGAATATTTCCGTGACGTAATATGAATGTGGTCAGTCATTAGCGGAATGAAAAAAAAATGTATTATTGTAGCCTAATGTCATTGACGGAAAATAAACACTGAATAGTCTGTGAACATTTCGTATGCACGAAAGATTATTAAAATTCAATTATTTACTTATACAACTATAACCCTATAAAGAAAACTAACTCCCTTTTATGATATTTTAGAATTGGGCATTTACGTACCTGATTTAAATAACTGTTCCTAAATACAATTTCATGTTTTAGACCTACGATTGTCTTATTTGTCAATTTGCCACTAACACAAATACACTCCTATATGTATAGACATAACTACAATTATTTGACATTTAAATTACTGATATGGTTAATTGTCTGGGCGGCACATTTCATGCATTGCCACGGGAAGTCAATCTAGTGTAACATTAATCCAATTTAAAACGTTTGACCTTTCCTATAATAATAATGATGATAATAATAATAATAATAATAATAATAATAATAATTATAATAATAATAATAATAATAATAATAATGATCAACATATATTGCATCTATCATCTAGATTAATTTATGAAGCTAATATCGGCATTATGCCATGTGGTCAGCCATTAGCGAATTAACAAAAAATAAGAAAAGAAAAATACATCTTGATTATTGATGTATCGGTGTAGCCTAATGACGGAAAGTCTATGAACTTATCCTATGCACGAAAGAAAGATAATCAAAATTCAATTTATAATCCTCTTAAGATAAATAGCTCATATTTACTCTTATTCGGAAAACTTACTTCTATCTATATGAACATTTAATAGCAAGCTCATTACCTTCCTTTAACGATATTTTAGAGCACTATTGAGCATTTACGAACTGGATTTAAATAACCGTCCCTACATACAAGTTAACGTTTTAGACATCATATTTCTCATTTAACTATTTGCCGCTAAGATAAAAATGTCACATAATCAAATCTAAAATTGGCTTGACTTTTTAAATGCTTGTATATTTAATTGTCTGAACGGCAAATTTCAGACATTGTCCATGAAAAGTCCATCTAGTGTTTAAAAGTACTGCAATTAAGGATTGGACATTCCACTTCTTATTAAAGAGAACAAAAACACTACGCACACTTTATCTTCCACGTATATGTTGAAGCTATAATGCTGAGTATGGATATGAATTTATAGAATTGTGTCCGTTAATAAACTTAAATATTGAGTATTTTGCAGGACAACAGTTAAAGGTGAGGAAAAGAAATATGGCACTAGCACCCGTAGAGAATGAAGCATTATAATTTTCCTGATATATTACTTACTAGACTAAATAAAGGTAAAACTACCTAAACTTTCAAAGAAACACATCATTGTTTCATATGCTAGCTTTTTTAAAACTAACTACTGGGTATTAAGTATTTTAATTCAGCAGTCTATGTAATATTCCCTTTGGAAATACTTCTATTTTATGGGCACATTGGCAACTTATTACTATCAATTGATAAACTAGTGCATCCTATCGTTAGAGATTTAGTGTGATATTTGATTAATTTATTCGGTACTAAATGGTTCTCAGTAAGAACTGCAATCAATTATCTGTTACCAATTTAAAATTAAAGAGTAGGACAAATTTCCCTCTGTCTTCAAATTTATTTATACATTAAAACAATGAAGCATGGATTGAAAATGATAATTTAATTAAGCAATAAGGATTTCAATAATATCCAGTAGGCTACACCTATGCGCTTCCTTCCATTTTATATTCATATCAAACCGTTAGCCATTATAGCCCTTCAGGTCGTTGTTAGGTCGTTTTGCGCAATAAGATCATTCTGAACAAAACGGGGTGACGAATGTCTGTAAAATTTGCACTAAAGTAATTGGTTCCGATCTCCATCAAATGGTACATCACGACTGATGTTGACAGACAAAAATCCAGACCCGTCAAATATCCTTTTAAAAAAGGTCTCCATTTAAATAATTACTATTTTTATTTCCATTCTCGGACGTCCAATTGAACAATAGGGAATTTAGAACGAAGTTAAATTGTTGTTAAAGAAATGTTACATCAATATCTATGAAAACATCTGAAAACACTTAGGTTTTTGAGAAGTCTTGTCAAAATTTAATGAATACGAACAAAGTAGAATATATGTAAGTTATTCGTTGACAATAGCTCTCCATATTCTTTTTCCGATCCACGCACGTTTTCTTTCGCGTTCCCTTTCTTTCATGTCTTCACATTCTACTTGCAGTGCTTCCCTTTCTTTTATTAACCGTTCCATATCGAGCACTTGCTTCACTTCTTCCAGTTCTGTTCTATATTTTTCTAATATGATATTCGCTTCTTCTTTTTCTTTATCAAATTTTTCCATTACTAATACCTCGAACTTTTCCCTTTCGATTTTCAGCTGTTGCAGCTGATCTTCCAAAATATTTTCGTAATGCCTTTTCATATATTGAGCTTTTTGCTGAATTTCTTCCTTTTGCTCTTTCTGTTGTTTCTGTAATATCCTTGCATAGTCCTCTTCCTTACGCCGAAGTTCATCTGCAGATATAAAGTCATACTTGCTTTTTCCTTTTATTTGTTTATAATCATTGACTATATTCATGTATAAATTATTTATATGCATTTATATATCATATTAACATATTCTATATCAAACCGGAACAGCCAGTTGTTTACCTATATTGCATGACTTTGAAAATATGTCTAGGTTGACGAAAATGGGGCAAGAATTGTCAAATTGTTAGTCAGTGTTATTGAATTTTTACAGTGATATTATATGACGCAAAACAAAGGTATGTATAAAAATTAAAACGTATATTTGCCTTTAAAGGCCTTTTACAAATTTCATTTTTGTTAATATGATGTCTAGAATTTATTTAAACTTGCACATGTAAATTAAAATAAGACTTGTCAACATACATGTATGGTTAACATACTACGACACATTTAATGTATCCTTAACGTTTATCTGTAACGAATATTTAATGTTATCTGTAATTTGTCAATAAATAAGATCATTCTATCATGTAAGGCAATAACTATCAATACCCTCTTTTTCTTGTTTGGACATGCCTTCATCGGCCTGAAGTATTCTTTCTTCTGTTTTCTTCATATTTTCCACAAAGTGATGCCACGTCCATGAAATCTGTTTAGTTAAAATATATTTTATTCAAACAAGACAACAGAACAAAATATTGAAAAAGATCCGATCCGAAAACATAACTGGTTTATAAAGTTTTTTTTTATATAGTCGTCGGGTTGTCCGTTCGTCCGTCAGTCAGTTCGTCAGTCTGTTCGTCAGTAAATACGTAACGAATACGTGTCCGGCCTATAACTTCGTTATTTGAAGTCGGATTTTACAACTTTTGTACAGAAATAATCACCATATTGGACGACATGTCAAGTGTAACATTTAGGTCGCTATCTTAAAGGTCAAAGTCAATACATGACCTTGCAGCAAAATCGTGTCCGGCCCAGAACTTTGTTATTTGAAGTCGGATTTTATAACTATTTCACGAAAATGATCACCATTTTGAGACGACGTGTAGCGCGCAATATTTGGGTTGTTTTCACAATTTCAACTTTGTGACATAACTCTGACACTACAAGAGGTATACCTTCCTGTGTCCAAAACCTATTCGGGGAGGATCAACCGTCTCTTGCTTAATTTAGGATTAATTACTTTCAATAAGACGGGTTTTTGAAACATTGTGAAGCATTAGATGAAGAAAAATATCAATACTAGTAGATAAAAGATCATCTCGTACGACTTGAAACTTTTATTAGAGAAGCCCTTGTAAATAAACAATACCTGGTATCAATTTTTTTTTATCTTGAGAAGGCTTACGATACTACTTGGAAATATGGTATCCTAAAAGATCTAAAGGATGCTGGACTTAAAGGCAGACTTTCTCTTTTCATTTCTGGATTTATAATAGATAGGCACTTTAAAGTAAGACTTGGTTCAACTTTTTCTGAGGAGCACCAACAAGAATAAGGTGTTCCTCAAGGAAGCATACTTTCTGTTACACTTTTTGGCCTTATATTAAACAATATTGCTAGCGCGCTTACACCAGGCATAGACTGTCCTCTATATGTAGACAATTTGCTTATCTGCTATCGATCGAAAAGTATGAAAAATTGAAAGGCAACTTCAAAAAATTTAGATAATATTCAAAAATGGGCAATAGAAAATGGTTTTAAATTTTCAAAGTCAAAAACTCAATGTGTTCATTTTTGTCGATTGCGGAAACAACATAATGACCCTAAACTTTACATTTCTGGTTCTAAAATTCCAGTTGTTGATAAGTTAAATTTTTAGGAATTATATTTGATAAAAAAAACTTTTATACCACATATTAAACATTTGAAAACTAAATGCCTAAAAGCCTTAAATTTACTTAAGGTTTTATCAAGTACAAATTGGGGATCAAAATCTTCCACATTACTAAAATTGTACAAAAGTCTTATCCGATAAAAAATTAGATTCTGTAGTATATGGGTCTGCACGAAAATAATATCTTCAAATGCTAGATACCAAACATCACCAGGGTTTACGTTTAGCTTCAGGTGCTTTTCGCACCTCACCTATAGAAAGTCTATATGCGGAAGCTGGGGAACCATTGCTTCATCTTCGTCGAAAAAAGCTATTACTTCAGTATGCAACTAGAATTTCATCTAATAGCAAAAATCCAGCTTAAAATATAATTTTCAAACCAAGTCATACTAAAGAATTTGTTAACAAACCAAAGGAAATTAAACCAATAGACCTCCGTTTAAAATATTATTTAGATAAACTTAAAATTAATCCAGACAGTATCCTTCAAAATGACGATGAGGATGTTCAACCTTGGACTTATAATTCCACGAAAATAAATATTAACCTTTCAAATATAAAAAAGTCATCAAATTCACCTGAACAGTTCAAAGACAAGTTTCTAGCAATTAAGGAAGAACATGAAGATGTTATACATATTTATACGGACGGTTCAAAAGAGGGTTGCAAAGTAGGTGCGGCTGTGTTTGAAAATAATTTTACATATAGTATTAGGTTACCAGATAATGCATCAATTTTTACTGCTGAAGCAAAAGCTATCGATTTAGCATTGTCATACATAGCACAGCATACCCATGATAAATTTGTGATATTTTCTGACTCGTTTTCTGTTTTAATATCTATTAAAAATAAAAAAAAATCTGACAATGACATGATAAAGACACTTCTTTAACGATTTCATGATATACTTAAAACAAAATGTGTTAAATTATATTTGATTCTAAGTCATGTAAGTATATGAGGAAAGAAAAGGTAGATGCTATAGCAAAACAATCATTAAATTTTCAAAAAAAAACTGACTTATTGCTACCTGCTTGCGATTTTAGACCGGCTATAAATAGACTCGTATCATCTGAATGGAAAGCAAATTGGGACAATGCTGTTTTTATTAAAATTCAAGATATAAACCCATCCCTTGATGTGTCACCATCTCTAATTCTGTCAAACCGCCGTGATCAACAGTTCTTCTTCGGTGCCGAATTGGACACACTAAACTTACCCACTCTTATCTCCTCACAAACAACAATGCCCCTTTCTGTGTGGGTTGTAATTAAAATTTTACTGTCAAGCATTTTCTTCTTGAATGTCATGATTTTTCACAGGCCCGTAATAGATTTTATTCTGTAAATTTACTCAAAGCACTCTTTGATACAATTCCATCAAAAAACATCACTGATTATTTGAAAGAGATAAACTTGTATTCTAAGATCTAATTGGCTCATTTTTATTGTCATTTACAAAGTTTTACATAACATGTTAATCCTATTATAGCATTCGGAACGATATGGCCAATTGTGTGTCGGCGTGCCTTGAAAATCCAAACAAACAAACAGATAAAAGAAGATTTAAAATTTGAAAAAGAAGGCGTCACTAAGTTGAATTAACGACATACGAGGCGAAAAAGGACATAAAGTAGATGTTTATATATGACAGAAGTAGGAATAGGGTATGAATCAATTAAACGCAATAATTGTCTTGTAAATAAACGTGTCAGGGTACAGACTTTCATAATTTGAGATAAAAAATAAACATAATGAAAAGAGGAGAATCTATATGATGAGTAAACTGGAGGAACATTACAGGGAAACATACATTATAGAAATCGTTTGCTATTTTGGATATATATTTTATGCTGATGCTGATGTCGTTACTTATGTTTGTGTCACCGTTAAGTAGTGTGTGGAGAATTACATGACAGTCAGCTGGACAAGTCTGTGTCTGAGAGTACTATATTGTTTGCACTTAAAGAAAAAATGATGGTTAGTCAACATTGACAAAACTGTGTAAAAACATAATATTAATACATTTTGTTTTTAATGTTGTTCAAAATGTTTAGCGCTACAATATATAAGCGCATTGGATCAATAGTGAGATGTATATATTTGATTTTCACCTCTTGTGCTGTAAAATCCTGGAGCTCATTCTCATATTGATCCTTGAATTGCTTGACATCTCGTTGAAACATTTGGTATCCGCCTGCTGTTTCGTAATCTTTATCACTGATCTTTTCATCAAAATGCGTCTTGGCTTTAAGTAATTTTTGCTGACAGGTTTCCGTGATTTTTATTTGATTTTCATTCTTAATTTTTCTCCAGATTGCCTCCATTTTTGTCTTTTAGAAAAAAGAAATAAATAATCAGAATATAATGCCATTTATAACAACAAAAAAAACATTAATAAGCAATATACAGATTTAAGAGCAACGTAATACTAGGCCCAAACTAATCCCTGACCTGTGCAAATGAAATAATCTGATCAATTTATTTTTCAAGGCATTGAAAACTCTTTTGATAGGAATAACATAATCATGTATGTCACATATGGGCGGAAAACCTTCAGTAGAAATTAAAATATTTCTTTTGATTTAGTAAGTACCGTATAAAATATCATCTTGTCAGTATACTACAACAGCCACCGGAAAATCTTTGCACCACCGAAAACGTGGCAAACTTCCTTACAGTTTATTCTTGTCCTTAAAACTTGAAAAACATTTTATACGATATATTTACGATAAATTAGAACTATTATTATTATTATAATTATAATTATTATTAACATTATTATAATTATTATTAATTTTTATTATTTTTACTATTATTATTATTATTATTATTATTATTGATGGTGATGATGATGATATTGATTATAATTTTTATTCTAATTGATTAATACTACTACTACTACTACTACTATTACTACCACTACTATTACCACTACCAAAACCACTACCACTACTTCTACTACTTCTACTTTTATTTAATCTTCGGTTTCATTTTGCTCATTTTCGTCTTATTTACGATGACATTAATTAATGTTTATCGGTCATACTTTAAGAAGATAATGAAGAGTGAAAGTTGTGTTTTTTGTCATTTGTATGTTCATTTATTGCCATATTAACCTCTATAGTTGTATATTGTATCGGGCTGTTTTATGTAAATAGTATAAATGAAAACCTGGGCTTCCTTTTCAAATCTTGACTGCTTATCGTGGATAACGTTTTCTCGAAGATATCTTAGAGCTGACTTTTGTGCGTCTGTGTAAAATTCTTTTAATACATTTTCAGACACTGGTAATTTTTTTATTTCCATCTGGTTTCCAAATCTTTTTACAGCCTCATTTTCAACTTTAGCATTTTCGTTTTTCGAAACAACTGTAAAAGCATCATCAACATCTGGAACAGCACCGTCGTTGATTGACTTAATGTAACAGTCTACTAAAGTGGTAAACACTGAAAAAGGATACACTATATATATATAGAAGAATATAAGAAATTGATAAATGGATAAAAGCTAAGGGCTTTTACGGTGGAGGCTATGGTGTTCCTTTGCACATTATTGTAGGCAAAAACGGGAAGCTGAGTAGAACCATCAACGATACGTTAGATAGATGGAGAGCTATCACACACGTATATTAGTTACAAAATAGCAGTGTTTTGATTAGTCTGCTTTAAAACAAAGGCATCTTAAATCAGTTTGCCTCCAGAAGGTAATATAGAAGCTGCTTTATCTTAAATAGATATATAAATGTCGCATTTAAACTTTCGTATTTAATTATTTTTTATTCGAAACAGGAAACACCTGGTAAACTGCATTGATAAATTTATTTTATTGTTTCATCTTGGTTATTTTGTTTAAAGTGATAACAAATGACAACATTGGGATCTGGAACGCGCGGTGACCGAGATCGTCTCACAGAATAAATTGTTTTCAATTGTATGTTTGTCGTAATTTGTTATACTTGATAAATGACAACTTATCATTAATCACGTGTTCATTAATCAAGACGCATAACTTGAACTGAACAAGAATTTGAATTTGTAACACAGTTATCAACATCTCCAACCTCAGGGAAGCTTTACATAATGAAAACAATAAAATTATTTCGAATAAATTTATTTTGAAATATGACCCCGAACCCTACTTTTTCATGATAATATAAATACGTGTTTCTATTTACATCGGCTGTGAAAGTGTTAACTATTGATTTGTTCAACAATGTTTTCTTTAATTCAGAGTTAAAAATAGAGGATCCGTATTGGAAAACATTCTGTTATTTATATGAAATGTAATGGATTTGTCATTTTCATTTTCTTAATAAATTTTCACATTTATTGTTAAATACATAATGGAATATAACATATTTAACAATCGTTGAAGGTTGCATTGATTATTAAAGTATATATGCAAACTTTTAATTCTTAAAACATGTATTAAAACTTATTTGCTTACTCTGTCCATTAATTGGTTTACTGGTTAGCAATTTCTTCGGTTGTATACTGTATATATACGATACAAACCGAGTTGTAACTTCTTTGAATTTTGGAGATAACTCGCACAATCTCAGGCGTTCTAGATTCTCCATAACATCTTCGCCACCTGGTACTGGAAATGCGAAACACCTACGATTCTGGAAGTATTTCTTAATAACTTCACGTGGTTTGTTGTACTTTTCTGATTTGCCAGATTTGTCAGATAGACTTTGTTCAAGATACTCGTTCTCTGATATCATCTTCCCATTTTTTATCAGTTTTAATCTGAAATCCCTCAAACAAAGAACAAAATCTGGCATAATTAGATTAAGTTCTTGGTTGTCTTCCGATGATTTTCCTTTGTATTTGATATTTTTTGCTATTTCCGTTACAAATCTTAAGTATTTAAGTTAATTTGAAATGTAATGTGTACTTAAAAACAACAAACGTTATAAAGCATACATTGTAAATAATGTTTGAGATATTACAGAGTAAATAAATATCGCTTCACATTTGCATGTGTTTTTCAATCTGTCTGTCACAAAACCTGGCCTTGACTTTTTTCCTAAAGCAAATACATGTACTATTAGTTTTGCAAGATTGATCAATAATAGGATTGCACATTGTTTTCTATCTAAATGATTTTTGTCAAAGTGATGACGATTTAATGACCTTATTTTTAAAGTTTGTCCGGACCACTATTATACCCATTAAATGCGTATTTATGAGAATCGTTACGTGATAGATCGGTAACTCAAATACTTGCACATGTTTTTACGGCTAAGTTAGTTGATTAGTTACGCCACTTGAATATCAAGCATTTTGGCTCATTAATGATTATTGCGTTTGCTGTTTCACAGTGGCTGCAATATGCTTCAAAGTAGCTGCAACATATAGGGACAAAATTATCCATTAACCACAGAAAACAACAACTTAATTGTTTATCAATGGGACATACATGTGACAAAGGATCGCACTAGTTACCATGAGTATGGTACTATATTAGATACAAACTTAATTAAATCAAACAACAGAAAACAGTAAGGATCCTCGGCTGAGATTTACGCCATAATTATCCAGATGTTTTTGATATTTCATCATCTCTATATATGTTTAAAAATGTGTTCACTTCCGGTTAGTAGGGTTCTGAAGTTAAACAAATGTTCCAATTAAAGTTAACAGACGAACTAAGGAAGTCAATTTTTATATATTTTTTGTTAAAGATGGATCATCTTTTGCTTTGCCATTAAGTCCGTCTAAGCCAGTTCGTACTTAAATACTTTGTTTGCATCTACAAATATTTTTTTTCTTTTTTCTATTACATTATTGAAAAATGAGCTGGTGTCTGTTTCACAATTTAAGAAATGATTGGACTGTACAGACGATAACTCGAGAGCTGAAAGGGTATAATTCATTTGTAAAATTTCTAAGACATGTGATGTTTGTAAACTAAAAGGATACGTAAGCTTGGCAACTGCGTCGTTATTGAAAACACCCATCATATTATAAACTAGACAATTACATAAAAGTGTCGCTAATGTGAATATCTTGTTGTCGTGACCTGAGTCGCCCTGTTAAATGGACAAAATAGTAATTGTTCGCTTTTTACATGAAGAAATAATAAAAATCATTAGAAATCTTATAACATTAGTTTGACGTTAACTTTTAAAATTAATATATTACGGTATTTTATTTTTTTCCACAAGATTTCGCTAGTATCACGCGATAATTATCGTCTCAAAGGGCGAAATGTAGTACTAAATTTCGCATGTCTTAAATTCAGCTAGTCTCTTAAGCGCCTTTTCTTTAGAAAGGAAATATATACAAGCAAAATTGTAAAATTCGCCTCGATAATAATCGTCTTAATGTTCGTATGGGTAGTGGTATGAGACCTAAGCACAGGTTTTTTGTTGGCGGAGAAAAATTGATGAATTTGTTTGTTTACAAGAGACAAATCAGTTGTATGTGTGTTTAAAAGTTACATCTATATATGGAATTTCCAGACTCGTATATGTTGCCAAAGACAATTACTGCTGAGCTACGGTATTGCAATTAGAACCTTTCAGTACCGGATTAATCACACGAGGCGGAGTTTCTTCTCGAGCTGGTAACAAACGGTAGCACCGTTAACGGAGGCGTTTATATGTTAAGGGGCAGGGCGTGAAGTGGTTGCACACTTGGTTCAAGCGAGCGAATTAGTTGCACACTTGACAAAATGGCGAACACGGCGTGATTTTTTTAAACGGGTGAACGAATTTTTCCCAGGCAAATGGGTTTCTTTGTTATTTTGAAGTTAATTAGTATGCCTATTTCATAATGCAATATATATGCCACACTCGGTTAAAGGTTTCAGCATCCTAGATTCTGTTTTGACGAAGTTATTGAAGATATAAACTGATCATGTACATATTTTGAAATTTGACATGTGACAGTTATGGTCGGTTTTTCTCTTAATTTATTCGGAATTGAACTGCATTTAACAATAACAAAATATGTTTCTGTCAATGCTGTACAAATGGTTTAGCTTGCAAGTCCGACGATAACGTTCAATACACAAAAATATCATGTTCAAGCACATTTTGGTTGCAGATTTATACTTCAAGCATTTTTTGTTGCAAACTTTTGTGTCAATAATATGGCATGCATATTTTTAGCGAGGAATAACTAATCATTTTTTTTTTAAATAATTAGCAATATTATGGCAATTATACCCATTCATCTAATAAGAAATACGTATATATACAAATTGTGCATGCGTGCAGATATATCCTAACACAGGGTCTTTCAAATAGATATATAACACAATATGCTAAATTGAAGTTCAGTTGTGTTTATCTTCATCATTTTTTCTCCTCGATATACTTCTTTTCTTTGTACAAAGTCATATGACTTTTTTTTATATCTTGGCATGACTAAACTAACTGAAAAGGAAAAGAAAAAAAGCAACAAACAGCTTTCATTATTGTTCGTTTTTTGAGATTTGAAATAAATTTGATTATATAGTAGATAAAAGCTATATTAACATTGACACAAGGGCATTAGTCATATGTTTCTTTAAATTGTTACTTATTATTGACCAATCGAAACATCTTCCAAATTCCCTAACTCGAACAATGACTTTAAGTAATTTTGTCACGTATCAGTCAATGTAAACAACCAATCGTATATCAGTTATATTATGATCTAATAGTCAAAGTCATCTTTAGAATACCAATTGACATATGATATACATCAAATCCGAAATATTGTAAACAAGCATGTCATTTTAACTATTGGTTTCTAAAAATATTTTAAGTACATTTACATACTTTATGTCTAAAGCAACTGCTGATCTTTACATACGAAACAAACAAATTAACAGTTCATGTGTTTTTGATAAACTTTGGAAATTTTGCCGAGTAAAATCGTATACATGTGTGCACATGTCCTTATGTTTATGATGAAAATAATTCACTTACATACAACCATACAACCATACTCTCACATACGTTTGTTTTGTATATAGTTTTCATTTGCATTTTACATATGAAGACATATTTTAAAATTGAAGTATCAAAAAACATTTTTCTATATGCTTTTATTTTGCTTCCAGGCTTTTACTGATGATTATAGTATTGAACTGAGAATCATGTAATTTGAAACATAAAGTGCATAATTGTTGTAAAAAAAGAAAGTATAAATAACATTTATAACAAATACAAGTAACACAACATAAATGTCAAAAATTGCAATTGAAAATTACTTCTACACTCCTTTTGCAAAGTTTTACTATGGATTTCAATGGAATAAGAATAAGTTTGCAACAAAAAATGCTTGAAGTATAAGTCTGCAACCAAAACGTGCTTGAACAAGATATTTTTGTGTATTGAACGTTATCTTCGGACTTGCGAACTAAACCACTTGTACAGCATTAACAGAACCATATTTTGTTATTGTTAAATGCAGTTCAAAACTTACAAATTCGAATAAATTAGGGGAAAAACCGACCATAACAGTCACATGTCAAAATTCAAAATATATAGATGATCAGTTTATATCTTCAATAACTTCGTCAAAACAGAATCTAGGATGCTGAGATCTTTGACCGAGTGTGGCATATATATTGCATTATTCACTGTACATTTATTACATATGACGATGGCAGACGGAACAATTAGCGATTTAACAGATGCTAAAGACTATGTTCATTCAGTGATTGAAATCCCATTATTTGTGAACTGTACAAGTGAAAGTAAGTGCTACACAAGGAAAAGACAATTGAGCGAAAGTAACCTATTAGATGATAGTGATGTTTGTGTTAAATCGAAAGTTTTGTACAGGGTAAGAAGTCTAGTACAGGTAGCCCTGGTTCAGAAGATTCTTTAAATGATGCAGACAATTCTGTTTTACTAGAATACTTTTCTTTTTGTTTAAGAAACTCTCTGAAGAAATTGCTTCACTTAACAACAATATGAATGACAGAATAGACCAACTTGAGGTAAATATTTGTCACAAAATTGGTAACATGATTGATAAAAGGGTCAACGCAGAGGCGAAAAAGGTAAGTGCAGATGTAAATAGACAAATAAATTCATTCACAGATGAAATACGCCAGGAAATTGCTCATATAGAAGGAAAAGTGCAAAAGATTTCAGAGTCTGCCGAAACTGGTAATAATAATTCTAATAGGAAATTGAATATTGTGATAAGGGGTTTGTCATTCCATGAAGGTGAAAATCTGTCAATAGAAAAGTTGATTTGATGATCATGAATGTTCGTGGTGTATCTGACGTGTCTGTATTAAAAACAGAAAGAAAAACATCAAACAGAGAAGATAATTGTGGGCTGATAATTGCCACATTTCAGTCTCTGGATGACAGAAGAAAAGTTTTGTCAGTGAAAAACAAGCTCAAGGATTTAAAACAATATGATACTGTATTTATCAACAAGGACGAGTCATATGAAGAGCGACAGGCAAATATGAACTTTAGAGTAATTGTTACCTCCCTTTAAAATAAAGGTAGTAATATAGCGCTACAAGGAAATCGTATTGTACATCAAAACAACAGGGATGATGAACGGATGTCGAGATCCCAGGACTCAAATAGTCAAAAAGAAAATCGCAATTCTAACGGGAATCTCGGATCATGGTCGAACAGGAACAATAGTGAGGATAATGACTCTTATATGAAAAAGAGGAATGCAAACAGATATAGACACAGTAATGAGAAAAGTGACCGTTATGCAAATAACAGAAATGAAAACAGTAATGATAGTGATCAACGTAATAACGGGAGCAATGCTCATAAAAAGCAAAATGAAAATGACAGACTTAATTCTTTTTCAGACAGGTTTAAACAGTCAACCTACAGAGGGCGTGGAAGAAGTAAGAATGGAAGAATAAGAAATAACAGTGGCAACTCGAACTATAGTAGTTAGATATTAGCAGGTTTTTGGAATGGAGGGTTTAATTGTAACCAGTTGTCTGATAATTTTATATTAAGGTCAAAATGTATAAATGTTTTAAATACAGATATAATTGGTGTTGCTGAAACACATTTGATGGGTCAAGATGTTTTGAATTTAGAAAATTACACCTGGTACGGCAATAATAGAAAACAGATACATCGTAATGCTAGAAAGCGTTCTGGTAGGGTAGGATTTTTTGTAAAGAATAGTCTTTTACTTGATTTTAACATCTCAACTTTATATGATACATTAGATGACATACTATGGTTGAAAATGCAACATAAATTTGAAGATTCTTGTATATTACCATGTGTTTGCTACTTACCTCCGGAAAATTCTAGTCGATACATTGATGTTATTAGTTTTTATGATAATCTGTTGGAAAGTATATACACTTATCAAAACGATGGCATGGTATTTATTTGCGGAGATTTAAATAGCCGTTGTGGTAACAATGAAGACTTCATTTCTGGTTTTGATATTATTGAGCATCGTAATGTTGTTGATTTTGTAAGTAATTCATATGGAGATCATTTAATTCAATTTTTTGTTGACACAAATATGTGCATGTTAAATGGTCGTAATTTTATACAAAATGATTTTACTTATATATCTGTAAAAGGAGCCTCTGTTGTAGATTATTGCTAGGTCAGCCACGAAAATCTTACATACTTTACTGATTTTAACGTTAAACATGTATCAGATGTTTTAAATTGTATGAGTATTGGAAATGTTTTAGCTAGAAATATACCTGATCATTCTGTATTATTATGGAATATCAATGTAAATGTTGGCATGCAAACTCTTACATTGAATGAATCTGTACCTGGTTTTGATAAGTTTAACTTAGATACTGTACCAGATAGTTTTCTATCAGAAGATGATACAATTACACAAATTCATGCTCTTAAAGCTAAACTAGAACATATTATGAGAATGCAATCCGACATAGATTTAGCTTATAATGAATGGTGTAAGATTGTAAGCTCAGAAATGTATGATAAAATTGCTTAGAAAAGAATAGATCCTGGAATTCCATCCAGGTTAAGAAATAAGAAACCAAAACCGTGGTGGAACCTCAAACTATCTACTTTATGGACGGCTGTTCATACTGCTGAGCATA